TTATAAACAGTGATCAAGCCAATGTCATTCAGCAAAAGAAAAGGAAAAAAAAAAAAAAACATGATTGGCAAACAAACTTTCTGGCATAAAATTTTGCGGCTTTCTAAATGTATGCTACTAACAGAAAAGTGCCCAGCATTCTATCGTAATTTCCCCAATGCACTCAATTTAGTTGAGAAAAAATCGTTAAAAATTACATTATTAATGATTTTTAGAATAATAACAATATAAGAAAAAAATCTCAAAATTAAAAACTATTATATAAAAATTTTATGTTAGTCGGTTAGACTCTATTGGGCCCCGCCGTGGATACGCCTGATTTAAAGCATTATTTTGAATTGTTTAATACAAAAACATATAGAAACACAATGAAAAAATATTAAAGTTTTGAAACTGAAAGGAAAATATAAATGGATCCTTATACAAAGTAAGTGGCAAAACTAAAATATAAAATAATCCTAAAGAAAAATAAATATTATAAAAAAAGTTAACTAGAAAAAAGTAAACAGAAAAAAATTAAAAGTACATTAGGGTAAGGATAGAACTAAGAAAAATTACTTTAACCGAGAAAGCTTATTGTAATTCTTGATTGATATTAAGTTACATATATCTGGCAGACAGATCGCACATGTTAATGAAAAGGAAATTTTTCACAAAAAAGCTGTTTCTTATTAAAACTAATTCCAATTCGCATTTTAACACTGCATCTGAATTTTGTCTTAGGAAGCCGTATAACTGAATTTAACTCACATATCACAATGCACACTTTTTCAAAATAAGTTAATCTTTCTTATTCTTTTTATAATTCCTTTATATACTTTTATTTTTTCTCTTAATATCATCATTTTGATTCGAATTTTTATCCCTTTTTACTTATATTCTATGCATTTTAAATTTATTCTTTGTATTTAATTACTGAATTACTATTTATACATTTGTTGCTTAGCTTACATCTTCGTTAATTGAGCATTTAAGATAATTCTTTTGTTGCGAGCAATATTTGGAACAAACAGCTGAAAATTTTATTTTAAGAATTTTTTTGCAGTATCAGATGCTTTTTCTTGTTAAATGATTTTTTGTGGTTTTCCTTTCTATTCCAAGGCCACGAAAGCAAATTTTTAGGACTTAGTTGATTGGCTTACAATTTTTGATTCACTAAAATTGAAAATATATCAACCAGTTATTTTTTTACCATTTATAAGAGATTAATATTATTAATTTGACTTTCATTGTAAGTGAACGCATACTTTACATATACGCAAAATAAGAATTCAGTTACTACCATGATATTAAATAATTAACAAAGCTCAAAATGTTTTATTTACTTAAAACAATAAATATTAATAAATAAATAGGAAATAAAAATTCCTAAATTAAAAAGGGAATTCCGTTTCTATGATAGCATGTTTAGGCAGATAAGAAATTACAAGAATTGAAAAACCATAATGTGAAATGATGTAATTAGTTTTTTATGATAATAATATAACATTTTAAATCCGCTGGAGTCATCAAAATACTACCGCGCAGATTTGAAATTCATCTCTTATTGTGTTGTCATTCAAATTAAATCTCTGGTTTAAATTTCATCAGTATAATTTTATTTATTATTGTAAAGGTCATTAAAATATTATAATTTTTTATTATTTATGATATTTATGATTTTATTATTTATGATTAATATTTATTATTTATGATAAATATTCATTCTCATTACTGTGTATAAAAGTCATTTAGCAAACGTGTTTCTTTTTAAAAATTATAAACTTCTAAAACTTTTATAAGGATAAAGAAGTTGTGACGCATTTTTCTAAGAAGAATCTTGATGCAAATATTAGAATCTAAAATTCTGAATGCTTTGGAATATTTTTGCAAAATTCTATACTTTAACTTGAATTAAAAGAGAAGTTCTTAATTTGATCGGCAGAAAAAAACAAAATTTAAATACTAAATAGAAGAGTAGTTTTGATTTCGACAAAATTATTTCACAATTGTTCGAAAACATACAAAGCGACTACTGTTGTACAATTGTTTCGAAAACGAAAACTGTCCACCCCTCTAGAATTACGATTAAGCATAATTTTAATTCTCAGTTACCTTTATTTTAAAATATCCCTATGCTTCATTATATGAATTTATTAAAAGCAGATGTTTCCGTCTAACATTTCGCTCATTGCACTGAAACAGCTTGACTATCCAAAGCACGACTATAAATCGGAAGTAGTTTTTAGTCACTAGTGGTTTTGCTTCCATCTGTTCTCAGAGTAAAGTGGCTCGAATTGCACTTGGCAGCGATTTGAAGAGGTTTTTTTCGAATCTATATTTACTCCCGGCTCCCGGTCCTTGAACGCAAGTTTCTTTTGACGGTTTCCACTGATATATGCATGTAAAAAGTAACAATGAGATCACAAAGACTGACGGCGCAGAATGTCATTGGGCACGCAAGTTTTGGGTTATTGTACTACAGAATATAATGTAAGTAAACTTTATGTTACTACATGGGATAAATTATTTAAGACAACATCTGCAAAATATGTCTATGTTTTTAACTCATTAAATTAAATTCTGGAAGGAAAATAGCATAAAATAAATCACGATACCTAATTTTATAGTAAAAGTATAACTTTAAGATTTTGATTTTAAGTTTATAATTTGGTCCTTTCATACTTCACAATCTTTATGCTATTTTGCGAAACCAAGGCATTTATCATTAACTGCCTGGGAAGTGTAGCCAATCCATAAGGCATATGATCATTCACTTATCAACTGCTCAAGGCCATCACTGATGGTTCAGTGTTTAGTGTAGCTTATCGGTTTCCCACGTTATTGAGTCTGGATGCGAATCTCAAGTAAAATCTTAGTATATTTTTGGCATGATCTCAGTTAAAATCTGCCGAGGTGATATTCGCTTTAAGAGATTGTGGTAGGTAAAAAGCGGGTACAAGACTCTTGAATTTTATCCTGCGGAGAACTGGGATGGAGTTTAGACAAAGAGCTCTTCTGTACTTTTTATTTTTATGCTGGAATTCTGGAATTCTGGTCGAAGAAAAATTCTTACAGCGGAGGCCTCAATTTCGAAAAGTGAGTTAAGAACATCACGACCTCGTAAGAAACGAAATGATTGAAATAAGAAAGTTTCATAAGACAGTATTCAGAGCAGTTATTAACAGCTCGAAATATCTGAAGATCCTACCTATGGTCGAGGTAAACTCTTCAGTAATTTTCTGAGTTAAGCTTTAGTTCCATTACTAATTTTTTAAAAATAAAATTGCTTCGGAAAAATAATTAAATTTACTAAGCTAAACATATAATCCCAATTGCACTTTGAAAAAGAACTTGAAAACGTTCATATACATAACTTATTTTGACAACGGTTTTATTCAGACAAATTAATATTTTTTCTGTATTTAAATTGATTTGAAAAGCTATAGATTGTTAATAAATAATATTTCAATTCTAGGCCTTTTTCTGAAAAACTTTTAGCCTTTACATTACTACAAAAGTAATGCAATGAAATGCAACGATGATTTTGAAACTTTAAGATTATAAACAGAATTTCTATGATTAATAATTACAAAACTTATATAAACATGATGAAAATTGGTATGAAAAGAAAAATGTGGACCTCCATAAAATACTTGTTACCAAACTATTAAAATATATTAATTATGAATTAGTTTATGGTTTGCTTCCTTAATGCTTAATTAATTGTGACAAAGCACTCGAGGTCTATCTGTTTGAAGAGAGGGATGTCTTTGTGGAGGACGTTCTAAGGAAAACAGGCTCGTATACCTTTACACATGGGAAAAATACTAAATCGCCCATGTAGCCAAGTCGTTAACCGGGATTCGAGCCCCGGACCGAATTACCAGTCTTCAGGGACTTTACTTCTGAGCCGCTGGTGAGCCTCATTAGTTTATGGATTTCTTACTGTAATAACTCATGATTCATCAGTTTTGATATCTTTCAACCTTATAATTTTTTTAAACTTTTGCAACAAAAAATCAGTGTCTAAACCTTTATGTCTGAATGGAAATTCTGAGAGAGTTTTACATTTCTAATCGCCTTAATTTAACTTTCATTTTAGGGAAGATATGACAGCAGTTTTTCCATTTTATATTTAGATTTTAAGCATCTCAGTAATTGAAAAGCATAACAGCACCTCCTTCCCCGGGAAAAGAAAACTGCAGTTATAAATTATGCTGTAATTTATAACTGCAGTTTAAACTTAAAAACTACATAACTACATAACTAAAAAAAAAAAAATAAAAACTACATAACTAAAAAAACTACATAACTACTTACCTAACTCTCTTTACTAGCAGGTCAGCGCATAATATTAAATAAACTATAAATTAGTATATTATTTATTACATTGGATAGGAAAAGATAAATTCCAGCTACCATAAAACAACTGTTAGTAAATTATTAAAAAACTATAAATTATAAACTAATTTTTAAAGTAAGCTTATAAATGTAATGTAAACAAAAATTTATTTATTGATAGTTGTTATGTTAATGAAGCAAGAAAACCAATATATTATGGAAATTAAAAAATAAACAGATATATTAGAGAATAATAATATATAAAATTATAATCTAAGCTACTCTTAAGTGTAATTAATATATTAATTAACTTGAATTATCAGGGGATATTGACAAATTGATTCAATAATCACAATTCAAATGAAAATCATTCTGAAATATTCTTAAAATGAGTGTAGTATACTTTGGTTATGATATTATTTTGCATCGTACATCAACAAAGCGAATTTTTTCTTTATAACCGTTACAGTGATTTTTCTCTTTCATCATACAAGTTGTTCGTAATTCATCATCCTTTAAGTTTAGTTATATTAATTAACTTATCCTTTTTTCATTATAAAAGTGACGATGCTATTATAAACTTAATTTTATTACAAAACAAAGAAATACAAAATTATTCATAAATACGATTATGTGCTTTTATTTTCTTTAAATGTACATCGTCAAATAAATACATAAATTTTTAGATTTCGGAAGTGTTGCACCAACAATAAATATCATTAACTGAACATTTACTACTTTATAAACACATAAATTAAATGGTTTAGAAATTAACATTTATTTTTTAATGCATTTGTACACATATGAATTCGAAGTACAGGATAAGGAAAAAGCTATTTAGTACAATCAAATCAGTTCCTCCTGTTAATAAGGGCACCGCCCTCTCCACAATTCGATCGATTCAATCCCACCATGCCTTGCTCTCCCTGTCTTCCCACATCCGTGCTCCCAGCATTCCCTGCATGGCGTCAGTGTAACACAGTGAAGCCGGCAACACATCCGTTTCAACATGTTACATCCAGGTCAGTTATATAATTGCTCATATGTAACAGTAAATATTTAAACACATACAATTTTCGTCCGTGTAATGTGTTACATGCTAATATCTTTTTTTTTTTTATTCCGTATGCTTTCAACCTTTGGATATCAACTTAAATCTGGAATCAGACGTAAGCAATTCAAATTTTTGTGTTCTATATATCTACTATATATGTTTCTATAGATTATAGACTATTTTTTTTAAATCTGATTTAAAAGACGTTTACAGCAGTAATTATGGAATATCTTTTTGTTTATTTATAACTACACATTTTACGATATTTAATTTTGGAAATCATAACACAAGTCATACAATCCAATCGTTAATCGTTTCGAGATGTGATCTTAAACAGAATCATATTTTCTAAACAGAATCATTGTTTGTAATTTGATTATTCAGTTGTCAGTAAAAGGTTTGGACCTCTCTATTATTACATTCTGAAAGAAATAAATGGCAGTTATCTTTTACCAAAGGAATATTTATCTTAAATTACGTAATTTTGATGATTTCATTAAGAAATATTCCATAAAACAAATCTCAGGTTTATATAGCTTAAAGCATTAATAGTTGTAGATATATAAAAACAATAACCTAAACATTATTATATATATATATATATATATATATTGAAAATTTTATTCTATTCAGACAAAAAAAATTATACATATAATCACAAAAAATAATTTTTTTCTGTAAATACTTTTTCTAGTTAGTGTAATACACCCGCATTTTCATCATTTGCTAATACAGTCAAATGCATGTATACATATAATGGACATATTTATGAACTTCTTACATAACAGTAGCATTTATTTTCATAAATATAGTAATATTTCAAATGAAGGCATTTGGCTTTTAATAAGAGTTTTTAACGTCTATTTTTAATCAATACTTTCCTTCCCAGAAATGTAGAAACGAAGATGTTTGATAAACTGCTTATAGATGTTATGATATAATGTTTTCAAAAGTCTTAAAAATCGAGTTCACATGTTAGACCTATTAATCAGATTTGTTAATTAGGGTGTTACGGACGTTGCTTCTTTTAAAATATATTACTTTAAAAAATTTGAGCACTTTTAGAATCGTAATTCGTAAGTAGGATCTTGAAGAACTTTATAAAGGTTGCAAAATTTATATAATAATTAACAGTGTTAATTTAAATCCTGTTACTTCTACCTCTAGATTATCATTTTGACGCATATGTGATTTTGAGGTTCTAAGGTATATAATAAGCTTATTCTGTTGAAATTTTGTTATTAAACTTCGAATTCATAAAATTTTGTTCAAATTAATTTTTTCAGTTTTATAACAACAAAGCAACGCACAAATGTTTAGTATTTATTACATTGTTTAATTTAACTAAGTAGTAAATACTCATAAGTTTTAAGCAAAGGGAGAATTTATTATTGTTCTCTTTATCATTTACTGACGAATTTAAAAATTCATTATTTATTGCCGTGGTGATTAGTGAAATTACATCCTTTCTCAGTGCTGTCACTTTGGATTTTAAAATAGTTCTTTCTTTGAAATGTATCATCACGCAGTGTGATTGAAAAATACAGCAATGCGACTAATGTTTTTCTAATTCTTTTTTACATAAAATAATAAAACATTTTAGCATTGAAGATAAATTTTAAAAAGCCAAACTAAATAAAAACATGTTTTTTTCCCGAAAACATTAGTTCACCTATTAACTTTAATTTGCTTTGTAAATGCTGTTCATATATGAGAATTCTTTTCTTATTTTTAAAATTAGCGCTAATTATTAAAATTTGTTTAATCTCTTTTCATATGTGAAAAAATAAAATAATAAATAGTACAAGATAATAAATAAAATACCAAATAAATAAATAATAAAACTCCTTCATAAATAATGAATAAAAAGATTATTTCTAAGTCTTATTCAAAGATTTACATAAAAGGACACTGTCAAAATTCAGTTAATGTAAAAAAAGATGGGAATAAAAAAGTATGAATTATTTTACAGCACATTTTATTTCAGTTTATATTTTCAGCTGCCGTACACGAGCTCATTTAATAGGACCTCGCATTAAAAAATCAAATAGATACATTGTTAAAATTAACAGGAATGATTACGTCTGAAATTTAGAATACAAATCAAAATATTAACTGAACTGATTATTTTTCATCATAAACCGTTAAATCTTGTAGAGTAAATCTTGTAAAGTAAATCATGTAGAGTTTTTACAAAGATTGAAACTTTTTCTGCGATTTAAAACTAGAAATTGTTAGATTGTTAGAATAAATTTATTTTAAGAAAGAAACGAATAAAAAATAATGTAAAATAATAATAAAAAAATAAATATTTTAGTTCAAAAAATTTTAAATAGGCAAAACATATTCATATTAGCAAATCAGTTAATTAACTACGTCATAAATTATTGTGTGATAACTTGCTTCAATTCAGTGGAAACAACAATATCTTACGATTTACAGTTTCAGTTAGAAAGAACTTTCCTTACATTTTATACATTATATATAATTTTACATAGCGCTTTAGAATTAATAAATTAAATAAATAATAACAGGAAATTTAAGTGGTAATACTTCCTGATAACCAGAATTTACAAAAAAAAAAAAAAAAAAAAAAAAAAACCCTCATCAAAAATTATTTTGCAGAACACTCTAATCAATGTTTAAAGAATCTGATTTTTGCAGAAAAAAATAGCTGAACACATTTTCATTAAACTTTTTTAAATTTAATAATAACATTCCTAAAAAGAATAATTAGAAAAAAATCATAACAGATCCGTTTGCGTAATCGAATAAATGAAATTAATCTGCATAGTTTAAAGCAGGGATGGGCCAACTACTGCCCGCCGAAAGGTTCTATCCGGCCCGCGGATAGAATTTCAATTTACCGGTCTGAGGCAAATTAAAAGAAATATATTATATATCCATTAAACTACTTTGTTTAAATATTATTTTTTTCCTTCCTTTTTTTTTAAAGTACTGATTATCTTTTCACTTTCTCTATTTTTGTTGTACAAAACGCAAATCGACGGAAATAGCAAGCACAGACAGCTTTCAATCGGTTTTCAAGTGTTAAAAGCGGAAGTTCGTTGTTAATTATAGCTGTAGATTGGCGCCAACAAGCGTTATCTCTTTCTCGGGGAGCAGATATACAGGAATCCCATATAAGTGAATTAGACCTCTTAGAGAAAACTTAACTTAAAACTTAATAAGAAAACGTAATCTGTTTGCTGGGCATCTAGCTAAGAACGACTTGTCTCATTTCCCGAGGTTAAATTCAATACCCTGAGTAAATGAAGAGAAGCTTAAGAGTTATGAAGATGGCTTGAAAAAAACTGCATTTTGAGTTTGAACACAGATTTCAAGTTTTCTGTGCTATTCAAACAGAATTGGATATTTTTACCATGCCTTTCAACGTAAAATGTGAAGCAGCGAAATCAGATTTGCAGCTTAAATTAATTGAATTGCAATCTAACAGTCATATCAAGCAGTTGTTTCTAAATAATCCAAAGTAGAGTTTTATAAATCTTATCGAAAGTAAGTTTCTCAAATTTAATATCTCACGCCAAGAAAATCAGTTCTATGTTTGTTTCATCTTATGTGAACAAATGTTTTCAACTATGAACCCTAGAAAGAATTATTTCAGAATTAGAGTGACAGATGAGCATTTAGCCTCGTTCCTTAGAATCAGTACATCTCACTTCGAAGCTCAATATAAGGAACTTTTAAAAATGAAATCGCAATTTCATTCATCTCATTAATATATTTATATTGTATTACATGTATGTTGTTTTTAAAATTTTAGTAAAACTTATCTTGGCCCGCCAAACTTTTTTTTTCCGATTTTTGGCCCGCGACCGAAAACGTTTGCCCATTCCTGGTTTAAAGGAAGAAAAGTGCAATATATTTTAGTGATTTTAATAAGTAAAGCTGAGAATCTTGTCAGATATCAGAACCTTGGAGAAATCTAAGAATTCACTGATTGTCAGTGATTATTTTATTTCTCACATAATAAGAAATAAAATTTCAATTAAAAACAAAAGATTCTAAATTTATAAAATTTTACTCTTATTGGGCTGGTAATTTGTTAAACTTATGTCTTTCAAACATGTTTCTTGGTTTTTGCTTACTAAATAAAAATAACATTTTTTTTAAACAGTGGTACCATTATAGGCCAAAAGTTTTGAGAGATCTAGGGTGTAAAGTAACTTTTGAATATATAATAATGTAATTGTGGGTTTCGTAGTTTTAATTTTTCCTAATAAAATTTAACATTATCTCGTAACAATCTGTTTTATCTTTCTATTTAGTGGCTGTAATAGAAAGGGAACTCTTGTTCCAGACCTAAACTTATACTTCAGAGTAAACTTTATATCTGTTTTACAGCAATAAAGGCAAGGAGGGTGTAAAGTAATAAAACAATTCCTAGTATAGTAGAACTTCTATCAATTGGGCTTGTATCATCCTAGGTTTAACTGAACTGGTAATCAGTTTAACGAAATCACTGAAAAAATTAAGTAACATTAGAAAAACACCCAAAAAAAAAAAAAATAAAAAATAAAAATAAATAAATAAATAAATAAAAATTAAAAAAAAAAAAAATAAAAATAAAAAAAATCAATAATCGCGATTTTTCTTAACAGAGCTTTAATCATTAACCATTATTATTACAGATTGGACGTTTAATGGTCTTCCTAATTGTGCATTAACACCAGTAAACAATGGATTCGTAAGTATTTTTCAAAGGATAAAAGGATGTGACACATAACTCGAGATGATGTTTCAGAATGGATAAATGTAGAAAACAGCAAACCAAGTTTTTAAGTTTTGAGTGAACGAAAACGCGAAGACTAATAAAAACTGTAGAAATGAAAGTGATGAAGATGGTGACGAAACAAGAAACGACAACTGAAATTCAGTATAAATTTCCTATTTTAACTATTTACATTTACTTCGGTTTCTGTGTTCAAAACAAATTAAAATTGTTAAAGTATTTAATGTTCATGTCGACCTCAGGCCGCTCGGCCAGTATAGCGGTTAGTGACGGTGACTGGATGGACCCGGCTTCGAATCCCGGATTTGGCATGCATCTTTTTAAGCGTATAGTGTCTTGCGGCAAGGGGCTCATGAGTACTA